AACATCTTTGTCGCTGACATGGACAGTGGGATTGAGTGCACCCTCAGCAAGTTTGCCGATGACACCAAGCTGTGTGGTTCGGTTGATACGCTGGAGGGAAGGAATGCCATCCAGAGGGACCTTGACACACTTGTGAGGTGGGCTGATGCCAACCCCATGAGGTTTAACCATGCCAAGTGCAAGGTCCTACACCTGGGTCGGAGCAATCCCAGGCACAGCTACAGGTTGGGCAGAGAAGAGATTCAGAGCAGCCCTGCGGAGAAGGACTTGGGGGTGTTGGTTGATGAGAAAATGAACATGAGCCAGCTTCAGTGTGCTCTCGCAGCCCAGAAAGCCAACTGTATCCTGGGCTGCATCAAAAGGAGCGTGACCAGCAGGTCGAAGGAGGTGATCCTGCCCCTCTACTCTGCTCTTGTGAGACCTCACTTGGAGTATTGTGTGCAGTTCTGGTGTCCTCAACATAAAAAGGACATGGAACTGTTGGGACAAGTCCAGAGAAGGGCCACGAGGATGATCAGGGGACTGGAGCACCTCCCCTATGAAAATAGGCTGAGAAAGTTGGGGCTGTCCAGCCTGGAGAAGAGAAGGCTGCGTGGAGACCTCATAGCAGCCTTCCAGTGTCTGAAGGGGCGCTATAGGGATGCTGGGGAAGGACTCTTCATTAGGGACTGTAGTGACAGGACAAGGGGTAACAGGTTAAAACTTACACAGGGGAAGTTTAGATTGGATATAAGGAGGAAATTCTTCACTGTGAGGGTGGTGAGGCACTGGAATGGGTTGCCCAGGGAGGTTGTGAATGCTCCATCCCTGGCAGTGCTCAAGGCCACGCTGGACAGAGCCTTGGGTGACATGGTTTAGTGTGAGGTGTCCCTGCCCGTGGCAGGGGGGTTGGAACTAGATGATCTTAAGGTCCTTTCCAACCCTAACTATTCTATGATTCTATGATATTCATCCAATAAATGGCATGAAAATAATGAATGTTCCTTGCTATCACTGTAGAGTGAAGGAACTACCTTGCCTAAATCAGTCCTATCTTACCCTATGCTTATCACTGGCTTTTTTAATGTAGCTTTGGCAAGAGAAGTCCACTTTAATCTGACAAAGTGTCTGCTGTAATCATTAGCTCAGTCTCACATCAAGCCATTTTGGTTTTGGAGGAGAAACATGTTGCAAAATCTCCCTAGAGAGCTCACTAATGAAACTGTTTATTTAAGAGATCTGATTGTAACACAATAGAGAAGAGCTCAACATGGACATTTTGGGATCTGTCAACCCTTTAAAAGATGACATTGCTTAACTTGGATGTCTTGCTTCTGTGCAGGTCTCCTAGTATCAATTAGTGCTTGCACAGACAAAGGTACACAATAAATCAATGCTAAACTCAAGACTTGGTCCTTGTGGCTCAGTGCTGTGTATTCATCATCACACTGCACTGCCTATCAATTAACAAGTCTCCTCTAACCTATGTCTGTACTGGTGTATCCAGTGTGTGCACTGCAAACAGCTCCCACTGGAGGCTGTGTGTAATGGACATTTTTTTCATCAATATTCATTAAAATTGCAAAAGAAAAAAAAGTACTTAGAATAAAGTTGAGTTTCCTTCAAGAGCATCTTTTCCCATGGCCCAAACTGCATCAAATCGTATCATATGCAAAGTCTTTGTCAGAACCCCTGCTCAGTTCAGTTAGGTTTGCAGTTGAAGTCTGACAGTGTGAGAAATTAAATGTAAGACTTTAGGAACTAAATTCGCAGGATTTTTTAGGTAGCTTTTTTCCCCCAGCTATAGATTACAGTCTAAGACTCAGGGTTTAAATCACAGCAGGATCATTTCTGATTTAACTCCTGGCTGATAAGCTCAGTCCTTTGTCCTCTGGTTGGAGGTTAAGTCAATAATGTAATTTTTTTTATGAAGAAAGGTCTTTGACAATCATAAGTATAAAAGCAAAATGGATGGTCTTGAATCTCCTCAGGAAGGTCTTCAGACCTTCTGCCAGAAGCATGATCAGATATAAGGTCAGACTGTTCAGATGTTTATCCAGTGTGAACCTGAATACCTCCAAGGATGGAGACTTCACAGATTTTCTGGGCAACCTGCTCCCTGGCATGTGTTACTGTTAAAATTTATTTTGGGAAATCCTTATTGGAGTTTTTCACGTGAGAAGCTTGCACATCAACATGAAGACTTTGTAACCTACGTGGTTGTAAAAGGTAACAATAAAAGAAATATTTCTTTATTTCCATATTGTTTTAACAAATGTTTTTGACTTGCTAAAATTCAAAGCAGACAGCTCCATTAGCTAGCCCTTTGAGAAACATAGCTCCCCGTCAGCTCAGACACACTCCTTCAGAAAGCAGATGTTCTGTATTCGTTGTTTCCCTCAATGCATTCAAGACTTAGTTGTGGACTGTGGTCAGCAGAGTTTTGAGCACACAGCATACACATAGATGCCTTTTATAGGTAACTTAAAGGGAGGCAGCCCATGGAGAGTTTAGAGCCTTATTGTAAATAGCTGAGGCAAACAGAGCTGATCTGTAGCACCAGGGCTTTCTCCACAAATGCTTGTTATGAATGTGGGGTCAGAGCAGGCGGGGCAAATTTCTTCCCAGTACTTTGAACGGAGCAGAGAGGATGGACAGGTGAGAATTCAGGACTAAGGACGAGCTTTGGTAGACTAAGAAGTGTCACATTTTGTGGATTCAGAGTAGCATAGCTTCCCTATTTTACTGGAGCAGGCTTTGGAGAAAAGTACTTTCCAACTCTCATGAACATTTGACACCTTTAAAGGTGGACGCCTTTAAAGGATTTTTACCTCAGTGGTGCAGTTCTAACCCACTCCCTGGAAGGAAGACATTTTTCTCCCTTTTCCCATATTTTTGAGTACCCAGATGGAAGGATCTGGCCTTAACATGCGTCTGTAGCAAACTAGGAGTCTTGAGGCTTTGTCATGTGTTTGGCAGTGCTGACGTCAGCGAGATGTCTCACTGAAGATCTTGGCAATTTTACAAGAGGGGATTTATTCTTTTTTATTGGAAACAGACAGCTTGTCATCAGCCAAAACACATGGCAAATTCCAGTACATTGTAAGGATTCTTCACTCAACTCTCCCAAAAGCATCTCTGGGAATCCCACTGTTCTCTGGCACATTTCTTATGGAAGAGCAAAGGAGGAGGCTGAGATGTAGCTTTATAAGGTTATAGAATTCAAAGACTTTCAAACCAATTAACTCCAAAGGATATAAAGCAATGACTTATATAATAATGAGTCAAGGTTCACACAGTGACGAGATAATAGGAATTGTTGGCCTACTTCAGCCTAAAAACATCCATTTTGCCCAACAACCTGCTACAGTTAGCAGCCTGAAGCAGTTGCCTAGGAAAAAGGGAAAAAAGGGAAATGTAAGGAGTGATTAATCTCCTGCCATTCCTGTAGCTGCTAATAAGCAGTGTTGGGGCTTTGAAGTCAGAAGCTGTATCCAAAATGATGTATATGATGAGTATTCAAGGCCCAATTTTTCATGGTGTTCATTTTTAACCTAGCTATACTTCTGACCTGCACAGTCACTGTTGGAAGGGTTAGTAAAATTTATCAATGCATCATGAAAAATACTCATTCTATTTTCTTCTATTCTTGAATTTCTGGCACATTGCTGTAATCTCTTTGATATTTATGCAGTTATTTTTAAGTGCAACAAAAGCCACAGGTTAGATGAAGAGATTTCTTTAAATAATGAGGAAGCCTCTATCAACAATATGTACAGCAGTATGCAACTGAGTGATATTTACTCCTTAGCAGTACTTGAAAGTGTGATTCTGCTCATTAAACTTTGTAAGTTATTCTCTGGATTGCTGGAATGAATTTCCAGTCCAACTTGGGTTAATGGTATTTTGCCATTGATTTCTTTGGAGTCAGGAATAATAAATGCAATTATTCCTGCATTTTTTTACTTTCTCACTAGCCCACCTACCTGTTAGGACAGCAGAGCCAGTACAGTTTTGAGTGAGTGTTTAGGATACAGCTTTGCTAGTTGAACTAGAATTCATCCAAATGTTTGGGCAAGCTCTGCCCTCCCTTGCCTTGTGTCAATACTCTCTGCAGGCTGCAGATAACAGAGCCTAAAAATAGACCCATCCAGCAGACTAATGTTTTAACCAAGTTACTCCCTTTGCTTGTGAACTTCCCTAGGTTTCCCTGGAAATGATTTGCTGTGTATCCGCACCAAGGTGGGTTCATTATCCCTTTCAGAGCTAAATGTCATAGCTCTAGAGTTTGTCTGATACTCAAGCTAGCAGGTCTACATCGAGGCTGCAGTTTTATCTGCAAACATGCTGCAACCTTCTACCAGTCTACAGCTACCTGCAGCTGTCCATAGCCTGCTACAATAAACTTGGTGACTTGAATGTGTCATCTGACAAGGCTGTTTGAAGCTTTGAAATACATTTGTGTAAAGGCCCATATACAAAGGGCTTCATATTTAAAATAGAGTGCCTTTATTCACTGTTTTCTGTCACTATAGAACAGTAGACAATGGTAGGAATTTCAATTAAAAGGATAAAATCTCCCTCTCCCAAGCAACAGGATGTTTTCAAATTTATAGTCTAATAGAAACCACCTCAATCCTCCCTGAAATAAGTTTTAAAATTTGCAGTCTAGCAAACATCTGGATGCTGCAAAGATTAAACAGGAGAAAGAAGTCCTACCTAACAAAAACAACCCCAAGAGACAGGAGTTATTGGTTTTTTTTTAAGTCTGAGTTATTTTGTTCCTCCATCTGTAATGAATAATTTTTCAAAATAAAGCACAGAATGGCCCTACTGATCTTCCCTGTAGTCCTTATTACATTGTCCAGTCCACATATTTTTTAAAGTACTCATTTTTCATTTCAGTCTTCTTTACTTATCTGATTATTTTATTTAATTTTTTGTATATCATCATATATAAAGCAAATGTAGAGTGATGTCTGAAGAATAAGTATATATCTAAAAGATTATTATGGACTCACCAACAACTGTAAGGTTGACTTGTGCTTGTCTGCTGCCAAGTTTGTTCTCTACAACTAGGGTGTAACATCCACAGTGTTCCTGCTTTGTTGATGATATTGTTAGCTTGCTGGTATTTTCAGCATTCTCAATTTTGATATATTCATTTTCTTCAATCTGCCAAATTCAAAAAAAAAAAAAAAAAAGGTTTTATGGGACAAATTTCTTCATATCTGGAAGAGTTCAAATTACAATACAAGGTTATTATACTGGGTGTTATCTGCAGATCAGTCTATTACGGCATGTGCAGCTGGTAATGAACACAGAACATCAAAAAATGGAATGGAAAATTTTGATGGCTCCATTCCTGCAAAGGCAACAGGGAGTACTGGTGTTATTGGGACTCCACTAAGGAACAGGAGTTTCACTTTCTAACTCCTTTTTGACAGGCTGAAAGTGAAAACTGTAATTGGCAAAAGAACAGTTTGTTCTCACATACATATCTACAGAGACCACAGCAGAACAAAGGTTTAGCTCTAAATACCCTAATTCATTTGCCATTCCCTTTTAGAGGCCCAATGTGCAAAACTTCTGTAGCTGAGACTTTAATCCTCTTGTCTTAACCAGCCTTATTCTGTATTTCCACAGAAACCAGGGTAACAGTTTCTTGGGTTTGAACGAGTGAAGATGATGTTGACTGAAATGGAGCTGTAATGCTATAACTGTGCAGAGAGACATACAAAGAGCAAATTTAGCTCTCCTATAGCATTTTTATTTTCTGGAGAGGCAAAAATCAAAATCTCAGCTGAATACCATAGGCATATTATGAACTAGTTTTTAATTAAAACAAAGCTATCTTAGCGTAAATGGCTAAGGAGACTTAGATTTTAATCAGTATTAACTTGAGACATGACAGATTATTGAACAGCCTCATAATGCTACACTGCAATTACAGAAGCTGTACACTGTGTTCTTATGAAACAGACAACATAATGTCAATGCCCTTCTTCCTCCCACCACTTCCTTGTAAGATAAGTGACTCTTCCAACTCATTCTCAGAATTTCATTAAAATTGAAGGCTGTTTGCCTTATCTTGTCTCATATATTCAGAGAATAAGAAATTATAAGGCTAAAAGCAGGACTTTCCCTGCTTTCTTCTCAACTTAGATAGAACACATGCACTGCTATATGCCCAAAAGTAACCCGAGAAAGATGCTCCTACAGTAACTCGAATAGAAAGCTAGTAAATGGGATTATATAGGATTTCAGTTTAAATTATACTGAAAATTGTTCCCCCCTGCCTCATATTTTGTTCTTCTGAGAGTCTACACTGGCTTAATATTTTGCTTTATTAGAATTAGTCAAAGGTAATAGAAAAAAAAAGCCCAAAACAGTCTAGCAGAGCTAGATCCAAATTATGCAGAGAAAGCCCTGGAATGGTACTCAGTGGCTTGCAGTGGTTGTGGGGAACAGGAATTTGGATCGCTGTGTTCCCAAAAGAAAATCACTGATCATAGTTAGGAAGCTCTGATAATTGGCAGTGTTAAACAATGGACTTTGTTGCTCAAGTAACTCAGAGATTTTTCGAAGGCTTTCCCCTTTTTAGCTGAGGACAGTTCCAGCATCCTTCTACCAGACTGCCATCAAGTACAACAGTATGGGTCACAACTCTGAAACATTCCCTTCTTCAAGCAAAATATATTTATCCAGAATAGACCTGTGAGAGGCCCTGGTGGCTCTTTTGAACCTAAGAGAATGTGAGGAAGGAACATGGAGAGGACGAGTTTCTCGTGCATGCTGGAGAATACAGTGGCAGGGCTTAAATCACAACTCACCACTTAATGGATCTGATCAAATAACAACTACAAATGAACCCCAGGAAAGTTGTAAAAACACTTGGGTAATTTTCATTTTTAGGACTGGGAGCAGAGCAAAGTTGAAATCAACCACATTTATGGAAGAGAAAAATCCAAGAATAAAACAGTATGTGGTGCAAAAAAAAAAAAAGCAAAATAATGATGCAGCACAGTACATAGTAACTGGTTCCCCATTTAATTTAATAAAGGAAAGACCGCTGCTCTCACTCGTCCTCGTACAGTGTTTATGAGCCCTCCTGAAGTTTTTTCTTTTCTATCTGATTCACCTGCAATAATGAACCATTTAAAAATTGTCATTTAATGCAAACCTTTATATTGTCTCATAGTGAATAACTAAAGAAGAAAGTATAAAGATAGTAAAAAATAATATTTTACAAAGGAAAAAAGGTGTAGTAGAATCAGAGACTGTGGATCTGATATGGGTATTATGAGGTACTGGTTTCTGTTATCACATAGATTCTGTATATTAAAATGGCCTTGAAATCTATGTAAATAGGATCGTTTTATTCACCAATGCCCCCAGAATTCTGCATAAACCAGAAACTCACTTTTGAGGGGTTAATTTTTACCCACATATTACTACAGAGCTCAGCAAAATAGGCTCTGAATGTTTCTGAAGCTTCTGAGACGGATTTTGGTAGAAATGAGCTGACCACTTTTTAACTCCAGTCTTGAAACTTCAGAATTTTAAGAAAATGTAGGAGTTCAAAAAAAAAATCATTCTTTCTCCTAGAGTAAGGGGTTATTTAGGGTTAGCAAAGATGGACTCCGGAATACCCTTTGCACTAGCAAACTGTTTTGAATTCTTTCAATGAAATGCTGATGCATCTGGATTTAGAGTCTAAACTTGTAGGAGGAGATGTTTTTATTTATGCTCTATGGAGTGCATAATGAGTTCAGAATGAAATAAACAGAATAGCAGCTACAGTACATAATTATATCTGCTTTATCCTAACATGGCACTTCATCTTCTAGTTTGTACTTGCATACTGGGCTATTTGATTTAAAGTGGTTTCATTATTTACTAAAGCAACTCTCTTTAGAAGCTGCCCTTCCAGACACATATAACACAGTTCAAGGAAATTAGTTCAAGTAGAAGGAACTCTAAACTTAGGGGGTGAGGGCACCCACAGCTACACAATTGTTGTTGTGCTTTGCACGGTAACATTTGTGTTGTAAGACATTTCATTCAAACTTCTTATATGGCATTTTTCCCCTCTGACATAACTTTAGAACAGACAACAATGAAGAAAAGGTTATTTTTCAAGGACAGAAATGTTTCATGTGACAGATACTTTTCAGAAATCCACTATCTTTCACATAATCTATTGTTTAATTACATGGTCTAAGGCTTTTCTCAAAGGAAGAGTCATTTGTCATAAGGGGGTACAAGCAGCAGTGGGTTTAAACTGTAGCAAGAAGATTTGTGTTTGGTATTAGGGAAACAGTTCTAACACTACGGATATTTAAGCACTGCAATAGGTTGCTAATGGAGGTTGTGAAACTTTTATCACTGGAATGTTTTCAGCAGAGGTGCAGAAAACATCTGGCAGAAATGACATTGACCTTGCAAGTTCCCAGGGAAGGGAAATGGACAAGATGGGCTGTTGTTCTTTTCCAGCTCTACTTTCTCAGTGATTGTTAAAACAGGCAGAAAACAATTTACCTGCTTCCGGAATTTCATCCAGGTGCAAGTTATTGGTGCTGTTCCTACCACCTTGGCAAACAATTCCACTGATTCACCTGCACGGACTTTTCTGTCTTCTGGGAACTGAGTAATCTGAGGAGGAGCAGCTGATGGGGAAAACAAATAAACAAACAAAAAAACCAAATCTCTCTTTAAGTGACTGTATTTTTTATTTTTCATTGAATTCAAAACACGTGCATAGATCAGCGGTTTCAGAGGAGCACTTGAAACCCAGATTAGCAGTTATCTGTTGCTTGCAATAAAACAATTCTGTGGACATTGTTAGTTCTACTGTAGTAAAGCAAATAACAAGCTACCTGACATAAGTTTACTCATGCCAGACCAAAGTACAGAGATCCAAAAGCTGAAAGTGTTATGCCCTACTCTACCACTAATTCCAAATACACAGCTTGTGAAATTTTGTGTTGGGTTTTTCAGGAAAACCTTTTTCTTTTGTATTTTGTATTTTTGAAGACTGGCTCCAGCCAATATGTGTGTGCTGAGGCAGTCTGCAAACGTGCTCCTTAATGTCATCAACGGTATTCAGAGAATTTAAGACTCAACACCTGCCTATGAAGATTGTAGCTTCAGTAGCCAGATAAACATTATGTGGGACATATATTAGAGGGATAAAGATGGAAACTGATGTCTTTTTCCATCACACTCAATTTTCCCATGAGCAGTGACAGATCCTTTTGTTTGTGTATTACAGTGCTTCTTTTAAATCTTGCAATACCATACTCCTCCATTTCTGTATCAGGTATTTCCCTTCCCTCTCATTGCCTAAGAATCAATAGATGGCAGAACATCTATTTTGCTAATAGTGCTTCTTCCTGACTCTTGGTTGTGATGCCAAATGTGCCAGACCCTTGGTAGCTGCTAGGGCCAGATGCCAGAAATATTGCAGCCCAGACAACTCCAGAGTGAAACCTGTTCTGTTGCTTAATAAGAGCAGCATGACAAAAAATATTGGTGCAGATTTGAGGACATATTGACAGAAATGGTAAAACATATCCCTTAATATTAGAATGACCTCATTGAAAAATGTAACATTTCTCTCCAAAGCACAGGGCTACTAGGTGAGGAAAAAAGTGCTTTCTTTTTCTGTTCAATGCAACTAAAGCAGCTTTAAAAGTCTGACAAAGTTTTAAGATATTAAAAGCAGGTTCCCATAGAGGAACATTCTGGTTAACTTTAAATACAGACAGCTTTGCCTAGGAGAGTGCAAACACGTGAATAGGTTACCATAATGCCAGTTATGCCGAAAAGCAGAATCTATCAGCTTCTCTGTGGTAGCTACTCATGCAGAGGTGGCATTCTGTGATATGTAGAAAAATCTCTTTCACAAAAGGCTAAGGTGTCTTGTGGATATAGAAAAGGGCATGAGTCATAACACTACTGCTGACATTTGGTAGGATCTTGCTATAGTTTATTTGATGGTAACTTTCTTGCATGCTCATAGTTTAATTCTTAGCACAGTGTAACCTTATGAACAAGTTTGAAAAAGGGGCTTTGTGTATCCACCGTTTAATCGCTTATGCAAACAAATTTAGTAGCCAAACAGCTGTACTTAGAAATGTGGAGTCTGTTCTTTAGAACTGTATTGGTTTATTACTTTTTCCCATAGGATGACACATGCAACAAATCACCTGCTTTTGGAGGAGTCTTTGGAGCTGGTTTCTTCTTCACTGTTGCTTCACCTAGTTAAAAAATAAATAAATAAATAAAAGAAGTTAATTCAAAGGTGAGTTTTGGAAGGTACCAGATGAACTGCAAAGCTTACATTCATAGCAATGCTTTGTTGGTACCAGAAAATATAATATGTTCTTTCAGCATATTAAACTCAAGGATTAAAAATACCTTTTAAAAACACTTTTATTATCCTGAATGATCCTCATAATATTCACAGTTGAAGCTGGAGTTTTTAAAAGAACCAAAGAATTCTGCTACCCATCTCCTATAATCTGTCATACTCCGTTTCTTACAGCAGTTTAACTGGGGTGAAAACACTAGGCCAAGATCCATCTCATACTGAATTTCTGCTCAGATTTCCAGCATAAACAGTGGTGAATGAGCTCAGCTAAATCTAGGCTAGTTAATGCCACACACTGTTTCTTACACCACTTGTGAGCTAAGAAAGAAACAGTGATACACAGGCAGCAAATACTCTCCTCTGCCTCACCTGCTTTTTTCTTCACAAAAGAAAGGGTCATGGCACCAAAGAATATGGCCCAGAATTTGCAATCTGAGCACATAAATTTTTGGAAGACAATGTTCTGCAAATTGCAAATGGTAAGTAGAAAGAGAGTGCAGAAGACAGGTAGGTAGAAAATGGCTACTAACTATTTTTCACAAAACAAGAACTAGAGGCTACCCAATTAAATTGCCAGGCAGTAGGCATAAAAGAAACAAAAGAAGTGTTTTTTAAAATACCATACATAATCTACATTCATAGAGAACTGATGTTTTGCAAGACAGAAACATAAACAGGTTCAAAAGGAGAAAGTCATAGGAGTTAGGTGTAGTGGTAGCCATTAAAAGTAACAGTCTGGATGCCTTCAAACCACTGAATTCCAGAAGTGGAGGGGCTCATTTATTTTAGAGCAGTCTCTTTTTGTCTGCTATCCTGAGCATCCTTGTCAGAGGACGGCCTCTGCTGTGAAGGGACATTTGTTATTTTCTTATGCTCAAGTAGGCAGCTTGACTGAAGTAGTCTGGCTTTTAAGATGTTATTGTTTCCAGCAGAAGCAGTATCTGCTAAGCGCTTTTGAATATCCAGGGACATAGGTGCTTAGTGTTAGCCACAACAGTCTCAAAAGGTTGGAATTTTTTGGTTGTTTACTTAAATTATTTCAAAGTAGGAAGACACTGAGCAACAAAAAATCCTTCCAAAATCTACCAAACCAATAAAATGAGTCTTTTATTTTAACCCCCTTTGCTATAGCAAACTACAAGCTGCGTGTGATACCCAGGGAACACATCAGCTGATATCCCATGAATAAAGAGCCATGAATTGTGAAGCCACCATGGGAGTCTCATGTTATAGCTCAAGCAACAAACAGATGCGAAGATTGATTTTAAGTTTTAGAGTAATTGGAGATAGTAAGCAATGTGCTTATGGGTTGTTAAAAGACCAAATGCTTCAAGAAATATGTAATGGTTTAGGTGTCAACACCAGTGTTTATTCAGTTCATTCCGGAGAATGTTTCACTATGCAGTGAATATAGAAAAAAATTTGCCACTTTCTCTTTTATACACTTCCATTTCATAGCAATTGTTTCTCAAAGTATGGTTGACTTTTATATGCTCAGCCTTCATTGATTTTGTAGGCACCAGAATCATGATAATGGAGAGGTAGGATAGTCTTGCAGTACTTACAGCTAAGTCATAGAATCATAGAATCATAGAATCGTTAGGGTTGGAAAGGACCTTAAGATCATCTAGTCCCAACCCCCCTGCCATGGGCAGGGACACCTCACACTAAACCATGTCAGCCAAGGCTCTGTCCAACCTGGCCTTGAACACTGCCAGGGATGAAGCATTCACAAATTCCTTGGGCAACCCATTCCAGTGCCTCACCACCCTAACAGTGAAGGACTTCTCCTTGTATCTAACCTGAAATTTCCCAGTTCAAGTTTGAACCCATTCCCCCTTGTCCTATCACTGCAGTCTCTAATGAAGAGTCCCTCTCCAGCATCCCTATAGGCTCCCTTCAGATACTGGAAGGCTGCTATGAGGTCTCCATGCAGCCTTCTCTTCTCCAGGCTGAACAGCCCCAACTTCCTCAGCCTGTCTTCATACAGGAGGTGCTCCAGTTCCCTGATCATCCTTGTGGCCCTTCTCTGGACTTGTTCCAACAGTTCCATGTCCTTTTTATGTTGAGGACACCAGAACTGCACACAATACTCCAGGTGAGGTCTCATGAGAGCAGAGTAGAGGGGCAGGATCACTTCAAAAAAGAGCAGTTGTATATCTCTCAAAGAAGCCTTTCTTCAATGACTGTCAGTGTAACAAAATTAATTGTTTAGATTGGTACTTGTGAGGTGTTTATCCTAGTATAACTGGACCACCAGGACATGAACTATGTCCTGCCACATTTTCCATGTGAGCTTAACCCTGTTTAAATGAAGGTCTTCAATGAACACTACTGCTCATTAAAGGAATCTATTACTTTTCAGGCCACCAACAGACTGACGTGTACCCTAGATATTTGTAGTTAGTGACTACAAATATACTTCCAGATCCTCTTTCCTTCACAACGTGTGTGAGCAAAAGCAATAAGTAGTGTTTTCAAAGCAGCTTTCCTCTTTGTCATTGTATGGTTATGCCTTGAGCAGAAACTCTTATTTCAAGCTGTAGTCCCAGTTACGAGGATACTTATCAGATGCCAGCTGGAAGCTCTGTAGAGTTTGGCCTATCATCTGCTGTTAAATATCCCTATTAACGGAAATCATCCATTAGTTGCTCATTAGATGCAAACTAACTCAGTTATATAATTAAAAACCACGTAAACATTTTTGTGTGTGTGCCTGCTGTGTATGACATCAGATTCTGTGCTCTTCTCTAAACTGAGAACAAAATAGCTGCTGGGTATCTCCTCAGAGCTATAATGGCTTTTAATACAAGCTAAAGCAATTATATAAATTTGATTACTTCCACACTCAAGTAAGCCTGATATGAACAAAGAGCACCAACAATGGGGAAAACCCACCATCCGTCAACTGCCATCTTGGGTTGCAGATACTATTGCTATTTTTCAGAAATACTCATGTTTCCCTGTGACTATAAATATCCCAAATTTACTTTTTTTCTTTTATTGCTGGCTGACAATGCCATTTTCTGCCTTTGCACAACACATGCACAGAATGGATATCTGTATGCTCAGATACCTCTCTCACTTTTCTCTGCCTACAATCAGCCACTCTCAGTTCATTGCAGAAGGGACCCCAAGAAAATAGTTTGTTCATTCACAACTACAATTAGCGATGTTCAATTCATCACTGTTAAAGAACAATGTTTCTATACAGACTAGGATGTATAGTGAACCACCAGGTTATTACATTTACCTTCCTAGCCCTAAGGGCTATGCTTAAGATAGTTAAAGGCTTTCACTTCAATAAAGATCGCCATAGCAGAAAGCAAAGAACCATCACCTCATTCAGCAAGGGTACTACTTTTTACATGTAAATACAAAATTTTTATTAATTTTTAGTTTTTACCCAGCATGACATTACATTCACTTAACTGAGTATATCCAGACTGCCACTGGACTTCATCAAACCATGCAGGTTTCAAAGGGTTGCTGGAAGGTCTGGCTGAATATCCTGTCTTGCAGACACAAATAGCCCTGAGCAGAAATGAAAGGCAGGGGCAGTGTGGAAGGGGATGAGGACAAGGTCTATGAATCTAACTTCTTTGGCTAACAGCGTACACTCCACCGCTCTTACCTCTTCCTTAAGAATACCAGCTCATCTCATGCATCTTTTTGAAATACAACTTTTGTTTCAAAATCTGCTGGAGATAGCTAGTGAAAAAACAGAGTCTAATAAGATTACCCAAAGTTGACAAGGTCAAATGATTGTTTTCATTAAAATATTTGAGCCTCTTGGAAATGTTGGTTCAAGTCTGCCTCTGCTGCTTTTCTTTTCTTTTTTTTTTTTTTTAAAAAAAAAAGACTGTTTGTCTCTCTTTTGATATTTACAGTGAAACAGGGTGAAGCTGAAAACCGGCCTGGAAGAAAAAGGACATAATAATCTCTCCTTAAATGAATCTGCCTTCTAGAAACAACCTAATGTAAACACTATGAGGCTGGTATTTACATGACTTTATAGGCAGGTTTGCCTCTTAGAGAGCTTATGTCTGGATGGGGCATAAAAGCTAAAAAAGGGAAAGATCCCATACAGGCTGATAGCTGGGGGACATTTGGTTGTGCTGTTCTTCGCCCTGATGGTGAATTTGTGAGAGCAGATATGTTCAGAAACCTCAGTCTTTCTTTTTTGCTTCCCTTTTTTGGAATTTTGCTAAAAATAGGCATAGCCCTCCCCTGAAATTGCTGTCTGCACAACTTGCTTTCATAAAGCATGAAGTATAACTCTTACAGTCTGAAAAAAAAACATTGTGTACTCAAGATAACATTGCCAAACGGTCCATAATTCCTACTGTCTTCTTTGCTAAAAATTCTGCACGTGTGTTCTTTAGTGATAGATTTTAGCACCTGTTTATTTACTTTAATAAGTACAAGCAAATAGTCTGCTTGTGGAACAACCTCATTTTAGCTCAGGATAGGACAAGGGCTAATGACATACTCTAAGACTATGGTCACATAGGAAACCGTTTTCCCATCTTTTCAAGATTTCATCTTCTGAGACAAACTAAATTGTTGGAGTTTTGTGGGTTTTTTTTGGTTTTTTTTTTTTTTTTCAGAGTTTCCTTGAAGAAAAACTGAAAAAAAAAAAGAAAAAACAAACCGTGTCTGTATTGTGTCAGATATCATGGTAACTAGGCTATTTATACAGGAGATGGAAAACCCAGGTTCAAGCCTCTGCTCCTTCTTCCACATCCTACTTGAATGCTTCAGAAGTGTGGGATGTGGCATTATGGGGTCTCTTTCTCCCACATCACAGTGTAACCTCCTTCAGACCCTTCTGGGGATAAATATCAGGGCCTGAATCAAAGGTGACTGTTGTCTGTAAAGCTTCAC